AGATTTGAATATGATAGAACTAACATAGGAATTCATTTGAAAATGAATTCTACACAAGATTTCATTTTAAAATTAAATGAATTTTTGATTCATTTGGTACCTAACGGTTTGTAGGTTTTGGTTTGGGTGGCTACTCAATTACATTTTTACTATTTATTTTCTTGAGTTACCCTCACTATTACAGTTTGATCCATGTATTTTTCTATACGTGAAGAAATGCTCTTAGTGGGGCGGATATGGGTATGAGTATGAGGCGGGAGAGACAAAAACCATACCCGTCTTATATCCATCAAAATGTTTTGTTTATTTTGCCCATACTAATTGATCTCATATCTAGCCAATGTGGGTATTCCTCTCATTGACTAAGTAGAGGGAGATCTAGTACCCCGGTCTTGGGTTTGATTGACATCCCTATTTCTAAATATGGTTTCACCTCTCTTTCTTTCTATCCTCCACAGCTGTTTGCTTACCATTCCCCCCCCCCCCCCCAATTGGGGGTGTAAATAGTATGTTACGTGGCTTGCTAAGAATGGGATTAGTTGTTAACCCTTACGGGATTAGCACCATGCTAGCTAAACGAATAGGCACAAGATTAAAAAGTAATTCTAGGATAAAAATAAACGGAGGATAGTTTAGTCAATACTTCATTGAACCCTCATATAAATATTTATTTTGCTACCTTAACGGTCTTTCCTCTCTTTCATTCTCCCGCATGTCACCGACTCTTTCACTACTCTTTGGCTTCTCTCATATGCGTTAACGAGTGTTGGAACCATCATTGCATTGTCCTCACCTGTGATGTAGAAAACACAAGTGATAATCCTAGATGTGTCTAGGGCTGTATTACGCAAGGTCTTTTGATGGTGGTTACTCAAAACTAGATGTTCAAATGATAGAATGATAAGATAAAAAGTAAAAACGATGGGTTGAGGTTCCCTATATTACTCGAGGAGGTTACTAAAGAAATAGAAAGAAACACATGAAAATAAAGAGAAAGTTTTATAAAGTAAAAGACAAGTTGTTTAGGAAGTATCATCTAGATGAGCATGCATACTTTCTCCTTAATAAGATGCCTATATGCATAAACGCTATATTGACATTCTATCCCTTCCACTAGAGTCATTCCCTACCCGTGCATGTGTCTCTTGCGATAGGAATTAAACTAGTTAGTGCATGATTTCACTTGTCACCAACTAATTAATGAAGAACAAGGAAGTAAGGATAGCACATAATTAATTGTGGGTTTCTACAAACCCTAACAATGGTCTATGGTATGGGGAATCTTTAATCATCGAGCATCATCATCATTCGGAAACCATAAGGTTTTACTTCCCCTTTGATGCACACCTATCAATGATGCCTATTACACGAGATTACTTTCATTGTCTCTCACGGTAGTAGTATAATCAACACATGTAGTAATGCACCATAAAAAGATAACAAGCATACAAAGAACTAAACCATCGATGCTCCCTATGCTTTAGGGCATCTCATTAACTCATAGAAATTAGTAAATCACATCATCGAATCAACATCCCAAAAACCAAAGAGTTAGCTATCCATGTGAGAATGAGAAGGATCAGACAAAAAATGAGCACTCTGACAGAGTTTCAGCAGTTCTTAGTTTTAAAAAGGTACCTCCTAAATGAAGTTAAACACCTATATATAGTACAAGAGAGGGGTTCAAAGGAAAATTTTCTTCTAAAGTCAGCCAAATCCTTGCGTACCCAACTTGAAGTGGAATTTCATCAACTTATGGATTAAGTAGCTTGCTGAAGAAGCTTCTTGGAGAGCTAGGGTTTTGGTGACGGTATTGCGGCGGTCAGGGCCACTGCTACTTCTTCGTGGGTGGGCTTCTTGGACCTTGAATGATATTCCCTTGCAGTTTGGCAGCCTCTTGACCAAGCCTTATCTAGTGGTGGTTGGACAAGATGTTGGGTCGTCGTAGTGCACAAATTCGTACTCTCCATGTCGATGAAATAGAGTTTTTTGAAGGACCATGTGTAGGAGGTGGTAGAAAGGCGCGTTCCTATCATCTCCCTTGCAAAGGAGTCATAAATACTATAAATTGAATGTTATCATGATTAATTGAAATTAGCAGTAATAATGCTAATAGTGATGAAGGAGGAGAGGAGGAAGTCATCATCTAAAATTACTTGTAGGACATCTGATCAAAGATAACATCTATATTTGACTATTTTATTTATTAACATATGGGTGATAGTGAGGTCTTATTAGTCACTTTTAACAATTGTTATTAAGACTGAGCTGAGCCGGCCGGTCGGATCGTTAAAACCATCACCCGGACGCCAGTCCGGCTCGGTACATTCAAATAACCGCAACGGCTGGATAAGGTGGTATTCGAATGTCCGGAACCGTTCTAGCCGATCGAACCGCCTGATCGATTTTTGACATATGACCCATCTGATGTAAAAAAATGCAAAAATGAGACATGCTGGGTTTGAAGCCGGAGAGCCACCGATGGCCGATCTCTGTCCTCCATCGCCGACGGACAATCTCTATCCTCCATCACCATCGTCTTCACCATCCTTCAAGAGTGAGAATGGCTGATCGAGAGTTTAAGATATGAAACATAAAGGGTGATGTGGCGAAGGATTAGAAGAATCCAATTCCAGAACATCAAATTAGAAGTAGAAGGTGAGATGATTGTTGGATTTGTTTTTATTCATCTTTTGCATGAAGAGGAATGAAGAAATTCTGAAATTGAAAGATAGAGAGGAGAAGGTGGTGAGGTGAGTGGCGCGCCGCTGGGTGGGGTGGGGGGTAAGGGTTTTTACTTTTACTTTGTTAATGTGTTATATATATAAAAATGTAAAAGTACTAAGTTGTACATGGAAAATAAATTTTATTTTAATAATCAAATTATTAATATATTCCTTTATGTGTCTTCTACTTATAATATTACTAGCATAAGACCCGACCCTTTGGCCGGTGGAGTTTTGCCTCGCTATTGAAATCTTACCATTAGTTGTTCTATTCGTTTTATCTAAATCTTCTAATAGTGATTACCATTTAAGTAGTAGTGTTTGTTTTCTAAGAAAATTTCATAGCTCCAAGAAATGAAAGCATAAGCGCCCATGTTTTCCATACCCAAAGGTACAAAAAAATCATTGTCCGATGATTTGACCAATTTGTGGACTCACTAATTCCATACTCGGTTTCTCTTGTAATAACCATTCCGTTCGAAGTCGGCCAAATTAGTTTTTAGAAAATTATAATCCCTGAAACCATTAAAAATAACCAATCCAATCATTCAATCAAATGAGATAAACATTATAGACCGTTTTTAGCGTCACGCGAATCAAAATGAAAAATCAATTTATACTGTTTGTATCGATTTATTATTGTTTGTATATAACCATAGTAAAATATATGAATAATAAAATATTGCTTTTGTAGTTAATTGACCTAGACATATTGAACAAACAGATTCTTATCCTAAAAAAAAGTAATCTTCGCATATATTCAAATCCAATTTCAAATTTGTCTTCCTCTCCTTCAATCTCAATCTCCTTCAATCTCAATTGAATTCCAGTTCTAACCTTTATTAGTGAAGGCATTTATCAAATTTAATCTATAAGTTGATCAATTTGCGATGCATTATGGTACTTCTACTAATTCCTCTTGATAGCGTCGTATTTGCACATGTTTGCACCCTTTTTTCTTAACCGTTTTGGCTCAAATTTGTGGTGTCTTGGCCTATTTTACACTAGGTTGTGTTATTTTGTCATATTTCAGGTTCTAGCGAATAAAGGGATGCATAGGCGCAAGTTTCGGGTCTTTTGGAGATCGCTTGGTCATTCGAGAGAAGAAACTCGAGCATTACTGGAGGAACGAATTTTTACCTCATATTATAGACAAATAATAATGGATTCTAGTAATGAAAAGAAAGAGGACGAGACTACAAGCGTTTGGGATCAAACGGCGACTGATTCGGAGTCCAGTTGAGGGAGAAACGAAGCATTAAACAGAATCGGAGGAAGAAATACGACCGTATTTTCCCCTCCCATGCCCGTATTTTTAGTGCCTAGAGGAGCCTTGGATGAGCTGAGACTTAACCAAAACGTGCGTTTTGGGCAATATACGGGCAGAGAAGAATTACGACCGTATTTATGTCCGTATTTCGCCCAGAATTGGGTTTTTGAGGCAAATTCGAGCCAAAGGAAAGGGATTCGATTTTTTTGGAGCAAAAACAGAGTTATAGAGAGAGGAAGTGCGACGAACAAACCCTAGGAGCTATTTGGAGTGGATTTCTCACCATTGAAGCCCAGATTGCATCCCCAGGAGTGAAGATTGACACCCCAGAGCAGATTCTTCCCATTGTTATGAGTATGACTGCTCTGATTTCTGTTTTCCTTTCTCTCTATGGAGTAGAACTTTCTCTCATTTGGGTATGAAGAACCCTAGTTCCATGTGTTAGGGATCTTGATTGTAATGACGTTTCGATTGATATATCGCTTGGTTATAATCGATTGAGGCATGTTTTATTGTGTTAATTAAAGCTTGATCAACTTTTCTTGATTTCTGATGCAACCTGAGATAGATAGAATCTGATTAGGTTGTTAGAGTTTCCTCAATCGGTAGTAGTGAATTGGTTATACGAGAGTTAGTCGATTCACTGCTTTGTACTGGAATCCAATTCCAGTAGTGGAATCCTGTGTTAACTGCCTCAAAGTTCTATCATGGTGAAGACTAGTCGTCTGCCGGGTAGTCTGTTTGAGAGGGCTTGGCCAACTTAAGAGATTACAAGCTACTGTCGGATCTTTCGCAGTTTAATCAACAGTGAATCAACCAAAGGTAATTACAACTTTGATATAACTAAGGAGCTAGAGGACTCATTCCCGAGTGACACTTCCCCTACCTAAGAACTTCAAACCATTTCCTGCTTTCCTACTGCTTTAGCTTGAAATCACATTCACTCAACTTAGCCTGCTAGATAATAGATAATCACGGAGTAGGCAGTAGATCTAGACCCCGGGTTGATAAATAGAACTTAGGACTACTGTTTCAACCAGTCCATCAACCTTGGCGATGGACCCTTCCAATTCTCCAACGTCCGCAACCAGCTCACGGTGTTTGGCTGCAACACCATTACGTTCATGAAAGATGTCGCGGGTAGCTTCGGCAGTCGCTGCATCTCCTTCTGCGACGACGTCTCCACCGCCAATGCCTCGCGGCGGATTCTGGCTACTGCTTCGAACTTGTCGTCGGTTGTCTGCTCCGGAATCGGGTGCTGCCAGAGCTCGATTCCACAGGAATTGAAGACGCTGGACTTCAAGTTGCTAAGCGGTACGAACCACAGCGACATCTTGGACTCCAATCCTTGCGATTTCACGTTTCTGGCTGAGGATAGGATTTTCAATTTCGGGGGCGTGAAGCTCACAGGTATTCCCGACCAGAATCCGAGCAATGCGATCACGACGATCGAGTGGGTGGTCGAGGAGAAGCGTCGCGGGCAGCAATATTATAACAATTATAATATTTTTTTATTCTTGTATTTATTTTATGGTAAAAATTAATTGGACTTTAAAATAGATTAAATTTTATTTTATTTATTATTTTTTAATTGCCACGTAACTAAGTTAATGATCAATTTTGAGAGTTGACTGCCACATTAGCTAAAGTTAATGGAGTTGGACGGAGAGTGACCAAACGTGAACGGTTTCAGTAAACTGAAATACCACCAATGAATTTAAATATTTCGAGCGACCAAACTTGAACATTTTTTGTAATTTCAGTGACCAACAATGAAATTAACCCAAAAAAGTATTCCTTCAATGGTTAATAACGTGAGCTAAGAACTAAGAAATATAAAATATTCAGGTAACAAACATACAATGAAAAAAAGTAAAAGACAAGTAAACGCAAAAATCAATATCAAGAGGCAAAGCACCTAAAAAGCTAAATAGTTAAATCAATATTTTTATTTTTATGAAATTCTGGGATCAATTCATTTACGAAATAATGCTTTGGTACAATCTTAACTTTGTCGTAAATAAAAAACTGAGGTGATTACAGTTTGACTACGTTGATCCACCAAACCAGACTCTCCCAAAGCCACCGAGAAGGACACCCACATCAGTCATCATGTTTGATCCAACGATTTTATTAATAATTTCTTGTTATTATTATATTATTAAAAAGGCTTTTAAGCCGTGCCATAAAGGCCTACATGAACTAAAATTTCAAACAGGTATATTAGAGGGGACCAGCCATCACGAAAGATTATTATGATATCAAACGGGTCATATGGGGGCTAGTCCATGGGCCAGTTTATTGTAGAACCATGAAAAGGCCCGCATCGTTAACTGCTTCCTAGAAAAGGAATTATTTCCCTGGAGTTGTCCACCGTTGCAAGCCGCTCACCGGTCATCACCGACTCATTCATCTGCTTCATCAATTAGGAGATAGAGGATTTCACAATTTCTCTCCACAATTAAAGATTTTAAACGCGAGACAAAGCTTCGTTGATCCCCAAAGCTACAGCTATTGCTTCAGCTTTTCTTGGTCTGCAATCCCTGTTTCGATGGCGAAACTCGCGTATTTAATGTGCTCTGTTATCAAGGCAAACAAGAACACAAGATCAAACAAAAACAAAGATCGTCAAATATCCACCGCCTCGGGCGATGTTGATTTGATCGATCAAACAGAAACCAAGACGACTGCGACATTATTTTTGCTAAACACTGTCGTTTTTCAGTAAAACAGTACAGTTGGGATTTTACTACTCGCAACATTGTTATATTCTGGCAACACTGTTTTTAACTAAACATTGTCGTTTCCTTAATGCTGCGGTGTTGTTGATACCTCTCATTTTCAACTAAATGACACCGTCTAAAATAATTATTAAATAGATTAATTAATTAAACCGGCTCATTATTGTCACGTTGTCAAATTCTCATCCCTCGGCGCCGTTTAATCTTTCCGCGGCATCGCTTTTCATTAATCGATGCCGACTGTCAAATTCATAGCCACAACTCAACTACCCCGGCCCGGTCCCATCAAACATTGTCGTTTTTAATTCGGCGATATTGTTCTCTAGTAAAGGGTGATGTTTTCTTGTCTTGTGGTGCCGTTGGGCTTGGCGGGCCGCCCTTGCCAAAATCCTACCCGTTGTGGTGTAGTTTTTCAATTAAACGGTGTCGTTTAGCCATATCGCGGCGTTGTTGATGCCTTAAGCGGTATCGTTTTCTAATCCACGGTGTCGTTTTACCCATCCTTGATGCCTCTTGTCTCTACTCGTTGTCGTTTCTCTCTCCTTCCGACAAGGAATGAACAAAAAACACTCCTTTTCCAACAACAACACCAATCTTGCGGCCCATGTCTCACAACAATTGTTTTCTATTAAACAATGTCGTTTCAAGTGCCGCGGTACCGCTGAGTTTCCTTGCGATGTCGTTTTCTAGTTGAGCGATACCGTTGGATCTCTTTGCGTCGTCGCTTGTCTCCAAACGATACCGTTTTTGGCATGCACTTTCGAATTAAATGCCGAGACTAATTAATATGGCATTTAATTAACCCATAATAATTTTAGGTGTCAACAATCCCTCAATTCTCTCCGCGCAAAACCAATGATGAATTTGTCATTCTCGTCCGTACCGCAACTCCAGATCTGATGGCAGCTAGTGGCAGACATAGAAATTTATGTAAGGGTGTCCCTTTATAAAAATTTCATTAAATACCCTTTCAAAAATTAAATAAAAATTAAAATTAAAAAAATCTTAAATGAAAATATATCCAACTAGTAAAAGATACACAAAAGTCAACAATTGATTATCATATTTTGAAAAAAATTGTAAAATTAAATACACTCACTGTCTACAGTGCTTAATAGATGTCTTTCAATATATCCTAGTAGACAATTATTCATGAACTAATAGGCAGTTCGATTTCGAAACTTGTTCTTGATCTAACCCTAAGTTGGATAAGGTCTCTCAATACTGGTAAAATCAATACAATTTTGATGAGCAAATTGACCCATAAATATGATAGATTCAATTTGTCTCAACTATCAACTAAGCTGATTCATCATTTCTTTTTCACAAAATAACTCATCATGCTTAACACAGTGATAAAAATTCTCAAAATCGTGTAGAAGAAAACAATAAAAAGATGACCAAACTCTTTAGGATAAAATCATGTTAGCGGTGGAGATATGGATAGTTCGCGGGTTTAATTTTACGCTTGGGAATGTAAGGCTACACGTTTATAGTTATATTTATGAACAAATTACAACATATAAAGTGTGGTCGAATGGAAAATACATTCACCAATAACTACTATGTTATAAATTTGAATCACATGTACTACAACTACATCTTTTAATTTTTTTTTCTATACTCAAACTACTATCGAGTGTTCATTAATTTTTCTCCCAAATTTTAGGGGTGTCCCGGGACACCCCTAAATTCCACCTGGGTCCGCCCCTGATTGCAGCACTCCCAAAAGACTCCCACATCTCTGTTAGATTTGAAGACCCTATGGTGGTCTTTTCCATCTTGTTGGCGATGAAGATTGGACATGAAATCCAAGAGTTGGTAAGCTGTATGAACAAATTTAACATCGACTTGAATCCCTAACAATCCTTTGCAATCTTTGAAGCCTTCCTCAGAAACTTGCGTTACCTGAGAATCCCTCAAAATTTCAGAGCAAGAAGAAAAAAAAGACGGTAGTTATTGGCCCGAAACTTAGGGGAGTGGAGATGGAAGGTGCTGATTTGAGTCGACGGGTGGTGACACAATTGGAGAAGGAGCGGTACTACAGTAGAGATAGTAGATGAGGGCTATTGACGGTTGATTTGGAGACTGAGCGTATCAACTCGCGATTGCGCGCCGACGAGGTTTGATTGTGAAACGTCGATTTTGTTGAGTTCGATGGCAGCGTATTTATGGAGTGGTTGGATGCACCATGCCTAAGGTGCGAGAATGGGATTGAAGGCCGCTAAATTGTGAGATGATACAGAGTGGGTGTTCAAGACTTCGACTCCCTTTGCTGCATATGGCGCGACAACTAGGTTTGTTGGATTCGGCGGCAACGGCGCTGTGGAGAGGAGGCGGGAAGTTTGTGAAAAAGTTAATCTACTAATAGCATAACTTGTTAGTATATACTAACTAATATCCAAAATACACGAACTAGTATCCAAGGTTGTTGATTTTATGAACTAGTATTAAAGTATCTAGAGAGCACAGACTAGTATCAAGAGAGCACATCCTAATATCTAACTCACAAAATTAGTATTCAGCCAATCAATTACCAACTAATATCCACAATCAAACCAACTAGTATCAATTATCTGGATAACAGTTTGTGTGTGGAATACACATTGTTATCATACTAATATCATTTAGCAAACCTTGAATACTAGTTGTTTTGAATGTTAATATTAGTTTGTAATTGATGGTTTGAATACCAATTATGTGATGTATGGGTACTGTTCTGTGTTGTCTAGATATTAGTTCGTAAATTTGAAATAACAGTTGATATCATGGTGGATATCAGTTAGCAAATATTGGAAACTAGTTTGTGCTCTCATGTATAGTTTAGTACTACTTCATAAAAGCAACAGGCTTGAATACTAGTAATGTAGTCAAAATCGTGTTTTAAAACTTAAAAACTTAAGATTTTACGTTTCTAGGTCACCACAACGCTTCTACACAAAATCTTTGTTTTTATAACTTTTGTAGTTAAAAACTTCAAAAACATAAAAACTTACAATTTTACGCTTCTAGATCACCAAAACGTTTCTACCTAGAAATTCGCTTTTGACTACATTGGATACTAGTTCATGCATTTTGGATATCAGTTAGTATATAGTAACAACTTAGGCTGTTAGTAGAATAACTCTATTGGGAAGTTTGCTGGGCTTTTCATTTGTTAGAGATTAATGGGGTGTGAAATCGCGATTGTATGAAGAAAAGAAGACGGAAAATTGGAAAAAGAAGGATTAAATTTACACATATAGCCTTCCGATGTCTGCGGGTTGGCAAGGATGGGCTTACGTGGCAGAAAATATTTGTTGACATTGCCTTATATTTATGTGTATATTGTTTATAAGACATCGTTTCTCTGACGGGGTTTTTAACGGTCCAATACTCGTTGGACCACTAACGTGCAAATTGTTCACATTATCGGGTCATGCTCTTGTTTGGTTTTGACAACATTGCTTTTAACATATTCTTTTTAGTTGAATATTATCTTGTTGGACTTCGGATTTCAAAATATCACTTAATTTCTAGCATAATATTGAGGAGCTACAACTCTTTTTCAAGACGTAGAGGTGGACTAAGATGACCAGAGGTGGAGCTAGATATAATTTGGGAATGCACGTAGAAATTAGTAGAGAACAGTTAAAATTACGAATAAACTAAAATAATATATATTAAGAAGGCTGTGCACAACATAAAAATATAATATTTGCGCAGCCCAGCGGCCATAACCTTTGTTTCCTGTACCCAAAATCCAGGTTTGATTCCCCAACCCAACCTTTATATAGGTTTTACCTTTCTGTTATTAATTTATTTAGCTGAAATCCTTTTAACCACCGATTTTTTTCTTAATTCCACTAATTTCACATAATATCAATTAGGGTACACCTATGGTGACATGTAAGACACTGTGACTTGCACAATTCGATCGACCTATATGCTCATCCGGTACACCAGTTACACCATCGTGGTCATTCTAATAGAAACTATAGTAGACCATTAACATATAATGAGCGAACGTTTTAAGGTAGTAATTACCAAAATGGTCGACCACAACAAAAAATAAGTCGACCAATTTGAGGCAGACATACAATAAATGGTCGACCAATTTCAGTTTAGTCATATACAAAATTGTGGACCGTAGAAAAATAGGTCGAGCACTTCAGGGTAGTTATTATCAAAATGATCATTACCATATCTGCAATGCGGTCGACCATTTCCAGCAAGAGGTTGACCAGATAGAAGAAGAGTCGACACATCAATCCATCCCTCTTGAAGTGAAACGTAGAGGAAAATGTTGACATTACGGTCGACCGCTTACAGTAAAATAAGCCTGTGACCTTTGAATTTTTTGTGCTTATGTCTGTCGATGCCTATACTTTGTTTGGTCTAAAAATTATGATAGAAACCAACAAATTCAATCCACAATCATAATAGTAAGAAACCATAACTTCTTAACAACTTAATCACTAACACCAAATACAATAAAACAGACCTCATAATAGTTCACCCATACCTAAAATAAAAAATCACAACGGCTTAATATCAATCCACGATTATAGTTTCTTTAAACCAAATAATCTTTAAGACTTAACGAAATCCACAACGAAATATACAATCTAAATCATGGAGTTCCTAGACCACTCTCCTCTCACTCATCCGCATTATCCTTATTGGCGTTGCTAGCTTTATGATAGTCGGATGTGTTGGAATGCATGTATCTTCCACTGAAAGATCAGAATTCATCTCGCATCTCTGTTACAATCACCTATAGTGTGCTCATGTGGCTGGGATTCGAGCTATGGTATTGTATAGAAAATTAATATAATGGGTATTACGAGTACCCATACTACCCAAACGAGTATCAGGGGGTAACCCGTGGGTACTCATTGTGAAAATTCTTAATCCCAACTCCCATCCTGTAATAATTATTAAGGGTATTTGAGTACTCGTAATCGTAAAAAAATGGGACGGGTATGGGTATACCCAAATATCCGTTTCCCGTTGCCCACTCCTAGATAATTCCGACTTCGATATTGATAAGGTAATGCAATAGAGGTCGAGAAAATGGTAAACCATTTAAGGTACAAGGTCGACCGCTTTAGGATTGATGTCAACCTTTTTTATTGTTTGCTTGCCAAAGAGGTCGACCATTTCATGCACAAGGTTGACCACTTTGGTGATGCCAAGCTTAGAGAAGCCTGCTTCAATATGATTAAGGTCCGGAGAGCGCTGATTTCCCAAAGCATTTAACCACCTCCAGCTCCGTGCGAATACCTGGAAAAAGGTCCCACCGGGGGAGTTCAGGTTGGAACCTCCTTCGACGCTCAAATTAGTAACCTTAATGAAACAACATAAATACGACGACGTTTGACCTGATTCGATCTAACGGTCATATTGAGCGTCGCTGGCTAATTAATGTCGCCCGGTGGAGACTATCCACGATTCCATGGCTTAGTCCACCAAATTGAGGACGTGTTGAGTGTTTAGAGATTTAACACGTTTTGGGAGATCGAGAGGAGAGAGAAAAAAATTTTAGAGAGAGAGAGATCCAAAGTGGTTGTAAGTCACTTGTGTTTGAGTTGTGTGTAAAGAATGGGGGAGGGGGTGCTCCCTATTTATAGAGAAAAATTCGTAGTTAAATTCCTCGACTTACGTCAACATTCCCCAATATTCGTCAATATTCTCTGTTATCCTCCAATACTCGTCAATATTCTTCGTCATACTTTAACATTCTCCGTCATACACCAACATTCCTCAACAATTATGGTATTGAGAAAGTCTAAGTGTGTATGCGAAAGTATGAGAAAGTGCAAGTATGTAATTGGAAATAAAGGAGTGTGGGTGTATGGAAAATGGGTAAATGAATGTAAATAATAAATTCTTATGTACATGTGTGTATATGCATGTATATGCACGCAAGTAAATGAAAGAATGAGAGAAGAGTAACATATATGCATGAATGTGTATGTAAGTGAGTGAATGTATAAGTGGATGAAAGAAAGAGGAGGAATTAAGGAGAAAGCGAAGGAAAGTGTATGTGATAAAAAAAACCAAATAAGTAAAAATCAATGAAAGGAGAGTGAAGGGTTTGGACGTATGTCATGTAAGAGAGAGGGAGAGAAAAAAGAAAGTAGAAAAGAAAAATTATAAAAGAAATAAAGAGGAAGTGATTATATTTCCTTCACATGGGAAGGGAAGAGCAGAAAAACAAAATAAAAGAAATATAGACAAAGGGAAGAGAAAAGTTCAAGTTTTGTGTCAGGAAAAAACAAAATAGGATATAGATGATTTTGGTTTTTTCTAACGGTGGAGTATATGATTTCGGGTGTTTTAGATACCCTAATAATTAAGGATTTATCAAGTGTATTATGAAAAGAGAGGTGTTTAATATTAATACAATTTTATTGGTTAAGAATCGGGTCCATCATTTGCCCCCTTATCGATAGAAAAATTCGGAGTTCATCCGAACGTTTTCTGACGGTAAGTCGGTGTTAGACCCCGTCTCATGTGTCGTGCCTATGAATACTAGAGGGGACAAGAGTTCATTCCCACTCCACAGCTTCACGATTTCCTGCTCCTTATTTTATCTTTTTGTAAAATGTCGAGTTTACCTTCCTCATCTGATGACTCGGTATTTGCACATGTTTTCCCCTTTGTTTCTTGATTGTTTGAGCTTGAATTATTGCGTCTTTGGCCTATTTTATGCTAGGTTGTGTTCCTTTGTCCCATTTCAGGTCCTAGCACATAAAGTGAAGCATAGGCGCAAGTTTCAAGTCAATCAGAGATCAATTGACGATTCGAGAGAAGAAACTCGGGCATGACCTAAAGAAGAATGGATTTCTACCTCACTTTATGGATAAAGAATTATGCAAGCTTGTTATGAAACGAAAGAGGACGAGACTACGAGCGTCTGGGATCAAACGGCGACTAATTCGGAGTCCGGACGAGGGAGAAACGAAGCATTAAACAGAGGCTGAGCAAGCCACACAGGCAGAGCAGAAAATCCACACGGCCGTGCAAGGTGAGCTGCACGGCCGTGCAAGGTGAGCTGAACGGCCGCCCGTGTGAGTCGGGAATTTCTGTTTAAAACCCGATTTTCAGCCAAAGGAAAGGAGAGAGCTGGGTTTTGGATCCCGAACACCCAAGGGACGAACCCTAGAGAGAGAGAGAGCTACTTGGGAACATTCTTGGAGCTATTTTGGAGGATTTATTTGCCATTGGAGCTCGGGAATCAAGCTTGGAGATGGAGATTGAAGATCTAGATCAGATTTCTACAGTTTCTCTCTTCTCTATGGAGTAACTTCCCTTCACTTAGGTTTTGAGGAACCCTAGTTCCATGAGTTAGGATCTTGCTTGTATGAAGTTTTGGATGCTATGTTGTTTGATTTTAATCGAATGATGCATGTTTATTGAGTCAATTGAAGTCTGATCAACTTTTCCTGATTCCTGCTGCAATCTGAGATAGATAGAATCTGATTAGGTTGCTAGAGTCTCATCATTCGGTAGTAGGAGATTGGCTATACGAGAGTTAGCCAGTTTACTGCTTTGTACTGGAATCTAATTCCAGTAGTGGAGTTCTGTTCTTACTGCTTCAACTTTCTATCCCGGTGAAGACTAGTCGTCTGCCGGATAGTTAGACTGAGAGGGCTTGGTCTGCTTAAGAGATTCCAAGCTACTGTCGGATCTTCCGCAGTTTAATCAACAGTAAAACAACCAAAAGGAATTACAACTTGGACCTAATTGAGGAGCTAGGGGGAATCATACCTAAGTGAGTTCCCAAACTATAATTAGTAGTTTTACTTAGTTTAGTTAGTAGAGTAGTTTAGTTAATCAATCCTTAATCTAGTATGCTAGATAATGAACTGAAGTTGAGTAATAGTAACTCTAGAGACCCGTGGATTCGATATTTATTACTTGTGCCACTATACTGCAGTACCTTTCATTGGTTACACTTGGCCATTGTTAGGTGTTGTGTTTTAGCGTGTCAAATTTTTGGCGCCGTTGCCGGGGACTTTCTAGAGTATTAGGAAAGGCAGAAGTTTGTTACTTTAGCGTTTTTCTTTTCTTTTTTTTCCACCCTTGCTTTTCACTTGGGTGTTTTTGTTTTTGTTGGTGCAGATCTGAATCATGGATCCTCATGGCTTCTCCAACAATTGGGGGTATCCACCACCATCCGGGTGGTATTACCCCGCGACTCCCTACAGCAATCAAGGAGGAGAAGACTATGGATTCGGGTTCCAGTACCAACCCCCTTACTACGGAGAACAATCAGACCCCTGGGCATATCAAGAACAACCTCATTACCAAGAAGACTTTCTCCCACAACCAGAAGGGCCATCGGAGCTGGAGTTACCCATGGCGGCCTTCACGGGCCACTCTGCAGAGCCATGCTACACTTCACTGGAGGATCCGAACGAACAATTAAGGCTTCTCGTGGAGCAGTTTGCTCGAGACACTGAGAAATCATGCTCCAAGATGGATCTTCAAATCAAAGCCCTTGCCACTTCCGATCCCTCATTTCTCCATGATATGGAGGAGACTGTTCAGCGCTCAGCGAAGCAAACAGAGTGGGTGAAGCAAGTTTGCTCACATCTTTCTCAAGTTCACCTTTCTGCTACCACGCTAGAAGAGGTGGAGGATGACAAAGGCTATGGGAGCGTTGAGGAGCATACAGAAGTTATCACAGAGAACTCCCATGATAACCATGATCAGGAAAGTCTTTTGGTTGCAGACCACACCTTTCCTCATTTATGCTCTAACATGCTGGGCCCGTGCGAGGAGATGCAAGATGATCCCATTGAAGAAATTGCTTGGCGACTTGCTCTCCAATCTGTTCTAGAAGAAGAAGAGCGAGCAAGGATGAGGAAGGAAGTTGTGGATGATGAGGAAGAAAGAAAAGAAGAGGTGGTTCTTGATCTTTTCACAGGGGAGAGACCACATTTTGAAGAAGGACGGGGGGTTGAGGAAGCAATTGGTGTCCAGGCTGAGGATGAATATGAGGTGGAAGAGGCATGCACCGGCCATGAGTTGCAAGTAATATCCCCACCAAACTTTGAGGAACTGCTTGGCAAGGACCCATTTGCAGTGTCTCTTTGCCAGACCAAGGCCACATCGACATCGGTCCCTCTTGGTGGACGCGATGGTGGTCGGTCGATGCTGTCATATCTGGTTTGGGGCAATGAGACGAGAGAAGAGAAGACGAGGTCTCGAGGGTGGAGACTTCATCTGCATCAAGTACATGAGCCTTCATCACCTGCCACACCACATGCTCGTGACTTGAGAATCCACCTCATCGACGAGAACCTCAACTTCAAGGAGGTTCTAGCATGGAACAAAACTTAGGAGCCATCGTCCGGCTCACGACGTGAAAGAAGCGCTTGTTGGGAGGCAACCCAACCAGTCAGTTTGCATTTCTTTCTCTATTTCTCCTCGGCAAGTGATTCAGATGCCAGTGAGTCTGGAAATATAGCACCTAACACACTGGGTTTTAATATCTGCCCTTGGGAGGTGATGTACCCTTTAGGTCGAGTGCCTCCATAGTACCCAGTGGGTGGCCTGGGACGCGGTTTTACGCAAAGCGAAAAGTGGTGGCGCCAACTGTTGGTGTCTTATGGTATGCCTCATAACTAGAGCTATGACATGCCTAACAGATTTGTTTCGGCTGCAAGTCACCCATCATCATGACGATCACTTTTCCCTTCTTCTCCGGAGTACGGGTTTCGATTTTCCTTGCCTACCTGGTTGTGCGTAGTAATGCTGCGTAATAAGCTTTTAATTGGCTTTGTTAGTCCTCGTTTTTGGACTTTCATCGCTTGTTTTATCTTGTCATGCCGTCGAGCTGGGGTTCCTCCATCCCCTGAGATATTTTATGCGTGTTTTTCTTTCGTCACGATTGATTTTCTTGGGAACTACACAAAAGCAAGTCAGCCAATAACCTCTGGACTTCGCTTAGCTATCTGAAGGGGTCGTGGGAGACTTAATTCTTTTATTTTCTTGCCCCGCCTAGTGAGTTTACTTTTGGAGGTAACATAGTTCAGACTCATTGGAGTGAAGGGATTACAAAATGATTTCAGGATCCAGTGATTGAGGGAGAAATTGCTTTACAATATGACCAATTTCTCCCGGAGAAAACCATTGATATATGTACTCCTAGGGCTTAAGAAAGTTTGTTTCTTGCTATTTATGGTAAAAGTGCTGATGACTCGATATTTGAACATGTTTTCCCCTTTGTTTCTTGATCGTTTGAGATTGAATTATTGTGTCTTTGTCCTATTTTATGCTAGGTTTTTTTCCTTTGTCACATTTCAGGTCCTAGCACATAAAGTGAAGCATAGGCGCAAGTTTCAAATCAATCAGAGATCAATTGACGATTCGGGAGAAGAAACTCGTGCATGACCTGAAGAAGAATGGATTTATACCTCACTTTATGGACAAAAGAATCATGCAAGCTTGTCATGAAAAGAAGGAGGACGAGACTACGAGCGTTTGGGATCAATCGGGGACTGATTCGGAGTCCGGACGAGGGAGAAACGAAGCATTAAACAGAGGCTGAGCAAGCCACATGGGCATCATGGAATCCCACACGGCCGTGTGGGTCGTGGCCGTGTGGAAATCACCGAGCCTTCACACGGGCAGCTGGGAAAGCCACACGGCCGTGTGGCCTGGCCGCGTGATCGGTAATTTCTGTTTAAAACTCGATTTTCAGCCAAAAGAAAGGGGAGAGCTGGGTTTTTGGTTCCCAAACACCCAAGGGACGAACCCTAGAGAGAGAGAGCGACTTGGGAACATTCTTGGAGATATTTTGGAGGATTTCTTCGCCATTGGAGCTCGGGAATCAAGCTTGGAGATGGAGATTGAAGATCTAGATCAGATTTCTGCAGTCTCTCTCTTCTCTATTGAGTAACTTCCCTTCACTTAGGTTTTGAGGAACCCTAGTTCCACGTGTTAGGATCTTTCTTGTATGAAGTTTTGGATGCTATATTGTTTGATTATAATCGATTGAGGCATGATTTATTGAGTCAATTGAATCTTGATCAAATTCTCTTGATTTTTGCTTTAACCTATGATAGATAGAATCTGATTAGGTTAAGAGAGCTTCCTTGATTGATGGTGGTGAATTGGTTATACGAGAGTTAGTCAATCTACTGCTTTATACTGGAATCCAATTCCGGTAGTGGAGTTCTATGTTCATAGCCTCAGCTTTCTATCCCGGTGAAGGTTAGTCGCCTGCCGGGTAGTTGGACTAAGAGGGCTTGGTCAGCTTAAGAGATTCCAAGCTACTGTCGGATCTTCCGTAGTTTAATCAATAGTAGATCAACCAAAATTAATTGCAACTTGGACCTAATTGAGGAGCTAGGGGGGATCATACCTAAGTGAGTTCCCAACTTGTAATTAGTAGAGTAGTTAGTAGAGTAGTTAGTAAATCAATCCTTAATCTAGTTTGCTAGATAATGAACTGAAGCTAAGTAATAATAACTCTAGAGACCCGTGGATTCAATATTTATTACTTGTGCCACTATACTGCAGTCCCTTTAATTGGTTACACTTGGCCATTGTTAGGTGATGTGTCGTAGCGTGTCAAGTTTTTGGCGCCGTTGCCGGGGACTTTCTAGATTATTAGGAAAGGCAGAAGTTTGTTACTTTAGCGTTTTTCTTTTCTTTTCCACCCTTGCTTTTCACTTGGGTGTTTTTTATTTTTGTTGGTGCATATCTGAATCATGGATCCTCATGGCTTCTCCAACCATTGGGGGTATCTACCACCATCCGAGTGGTATTACCCCGAGACCCCCCTGGAGCAATCAAGGAGGAGAAGACTATGGATTCGGGTTCTAGTACCAACCCCCTTACTACGGAGAACAATCATACCCCTGGGCATATCAAGAACAACCTCATTACCAAGAAGGCTTTCTCACACAACCAGAAGGGCCATCAGAGCTGGAGTTAGCCATGGAGGCCTTCACGGGCCACTCTGCAGAGCCATGCTACACTTCACTGGAAGATCCGAACAAACAATAAAGGCTTCTCATGGAGCAGTTTGCTCGAGACACTAAGAGATCATGCTCCAAGATGGATCTTCAAATCAAAGCCCTTGCCCCTTCCGATCCCTCATTTCTCCATGAAATGGAGGAGACTGTTCAGCGCTCAGTGAAGCAAACAGAGTGGGTGGAGCAAGTTTGCTCACATCTTGCTCAAGATCACCTTTCTACTACCACGCTAGAAGAGGTGGAGGATGACAAAGGCTACGGGGATGTTGAGGAGCATACAGAAGTTATCACAAAGAACTCCCATGATAATCATGATCAGGAAGTCCTATGGTTGCAGATCACACCTTTCCTTATTTTTGCTCTAACATGATGGGCCCGAGCGAGGAGATGCAAGATGATCTCATTGAAGAAATTACATGGCGACTTGCTCTCCAATCTGTGTTAGAAGAAGAAGAGCAAGAAAGGGTGCATAAAGAAGTTGTGGAGGATGACGAAAGTGAAGCAGGAGGAGTTCTTGATCATTTCCCAGGGGTGATACCACATGAAGAAGAAAGGGGGGTTGAAGAAGCAATTGGCGTCCATGCTGAGGACGTAGTTAAGGTGGAAGAGGCCTGCACCGGCTATGAGTTACTTGTGATATCTCCACTGAATTTCGAGGAGCTGCTTGGCAAGGACCCATTTCCAGTGTCTCTTTGCTAGACCAAGGCCACATCGACATCGGTCCCTCTTGGTGGACGGGATGGTGGCCATTCGATGCTGTCATATCTGGTTTGTGGCAATGAGACGAGAGAAGAGAAGAAGAGGTCTCGAGGGTGGAGACTTCATCTGCATCAAGTGCATGAGCCTTCATCACCTGCCACACCACATGCTCGTGACTTGAGACTCCACCTCATCGACTAGAACCTCAACTTCAAGGAGGTTTTGGGGTGGACCAAAACTTAGGAGCCATCGTCTAGCTCACGACGTGAAAGAAGCGCTTGTTGGGAGGCTACCCAACCAGTCGGTTTGCATTTCTTTCTCTATTTCTCCTCGGTTGAGTCAGTTTTGTTATTTGATTTTAGAGTCAATAACTCAACCTTTGTGAGATTTTATGTGGTGTTTGCGTTCTGATTACTGTCTCTTCCTGGAATGCACCGCCTGACCCATACATCATCATTCACCCTTGATCTGGTAACTTCGTTCTACCCTCCTTATCTTTCCTCCATTGAGGACAATGTCGTGCTTAAGTGTGGGGGGATGTTCGATTATGTATGCGGGTGAATGTTTGGCTGTTTGTGTTCTTAGAGCCTAGTCCACTGTCCATATTTTTAAATTTGAGGGCTCCAAGTACGTATTTCCTTGCAAATTGCCTGCTCAGTATGCTTTGAATCAACTTCTCTATAGTAATGTGCAACCTAGGGAGGTAGTGTAGCACTATGGAGGATGTTGAAGTATAAGATTTTTCCTATCTAGCTCTCCGTTGTGCCAGTTGATTTTGTGAATTAGTGGAGCTAAGACCGTTGAATTCATGTGGTAATGGTGACTCTGTTTGGATTGTGTTATGGACTCGTGTATCGAACAGGGTGCTCGTATGGAAAATGGGAAGCAGTTGGTCCTCCATGTCGAAATCATTGAAATCTTAAACATGGGGTAAGCCCAACGTGTGTGGCACTGTTCATTGCACAAAATCGGGTTTTGGAAGAGATTTTAGTGATCCTTAGTGGGGTACTCCTACAAGGTGAAGCTAAGCTGTCTCTAGTACAAGTAAAATTTTCAGCCGTTGAACGGTTTGCCTACTTGAGGATGTGTTTTTAAGGGCACAGATAGAGCTTCCGACCCCCCTTGATTTCATTGACCCTCCACACGAGTTGAGGAAAAGGAGTTAAAAGAAGTACTCTGGCAAGCGCTGGATGTACAAAATTGCTCTTGCTCGACTAATAAGGGTCGGCCGTGCAAAAGACTGCAGTTGGAACCCCCGCCAAGTGAATGAAGAAAAAAAGAGAAAAAGAAATGTAAATGAAAGTGAAAAAATGGGTTCCAATGGTGAAATGAAGTGAAAGAGCACCCCAGTACAACGAGTCCTTGGTTGTGAATGGTGTGAGTCCCTTTGTCCATGAACTGACTGTCTTACTTCTACTTCTTCTCATGTTCCTGGCTTGAGTCTAGTACTCGCATTGAGAGAGATAGGGGACGTCTTAGAAGACCAGTTGACCTCGTAAGCTGCTATATGATCTAGGAAATCCTCTACCGACGATCGGGGTTGTATGTTGCTATAGAGGTCTGGAGAGCTGCATTGGTTTGAGTTAGGTTTGCTTGGGGACAAGCAAACGGTTAAGTGTGGGGGGATTTGATGACTCGATATTTGCACATGTTTTCCCCTTTGTTTCTTGATCGTTTGAGATTGAATTATTGCGTCTTTGTCCTATTTTATGCTAGGTTGTGTTTCTTTGTCACATTTCAGGTCCTAGCACATAAAGTGAAGCATAGGCGCAAGTTTCAAATCAATCAGAGATCAATTGACAATTCGGGAGAAGAAACTCGTGCATGACCTGAAGAAGAATGAATTTCTACCTCACTTTATGGACAAAGAATCATGCAAGCTTGTCAAGAAAAGAAATAGGACGAGACTACGAGCGTCTGGGATCAAACGAGGACTGATTCGGAGTCAGGACGAGGGAGAAACGAAGCATTAAACAGAGGCTGAGCAAGCCACACGGGCATCCTGGAATTCCACACGGCCGTGTGGGTCGTGGCCGTGTGGAAATCACCGAGCCTTCACACGGGCAGCTGGGAAAGCCACACGGCCGTGTGGCCTGGCCGCGTGATCGGGAATTTCTGTTTAAAACTCGATTTTCAGCCAAAGGAAAGGGGAGAGCTGGGTTTTTGGTTCCCAAACACCCAAGGGACGAACCCTAGAGAGAGAGCGACTTGGGAACATTCTTGGAGATATTTTGGAGGATTTCTTCGCCATTGGAGCTCGGGAATCAAGCTTGGAGATGGAGATTGAAGATCTAGATCAGATTTCTGCAGTCTCTCTCTTCTCTATGGAGTAACTTCCCTTCACTTAGGTTTTGAGGAACCCTAGTTCCATATGTTAGGATCTTTCTTGTATGAAGTTTTGGATGCTATATTGTTTGATTATAATCGATTGAGGCATGATTTATTGAGTCAATTGAATCTTGATCAAATTCTCTTGATTTCTACTTTAACCTATGATAGATAGAATCTGATTAGGTTAAGAGAGCTTCCTTGATTGATGGTGGTGAATTGGTTATACGAGAGTTAGTCAATCTACTGCTTTGTACTGGAATCCAATTCCGGTAGTGGAGTTCTGTGTTCATAGCCTCAGCTTTCTATCCCGGTGAAGGTTAGTCGCCTGCCGGGTAGTTGGACTGAGAGGGCTTGGTCAGCTTAAGAGATTCCAAGCTACTGTCGGATCTTCCGCAGTTTAATCAACAGTAGATTAACCAAAATTAATTGCAACTTGGACCTAATTGAGGAGCTAGGGGGAATCATACCTAAGTTAGTTCCCAACTTGTAATTAGTAGAGTAGTTAGTAGAGTAGTTTAGTAAATCAATCCTTAATATAGTTTGCTAGATAATGAACTGAAGCTGAGTAATAATAACTCTAGAGACCCGTGGATTCGATATTTATTACTTGTGCCACTATACTGCAATCCCTTTCATTGGTTACACTTGGCCATTGTTAGGTGTTGTGTCGTAGCGTGTCACGTGCGTCTCTTTTTTTTTAAAATACTTTCCTTTTTTGTGACCAAATTTTTTTTACTATATTCCTTCCTTACAAATTACTCCCACTTTCAGAAGTGTATGAAGAATAGGGAAATGCCAGCAGTGCGTACGTCGGGGTGTCAATTTGTGAGTACCAGATAATCCCTCGCTTGGATGGTCTATAGTTCGTCATGACCAGTCAAAGAGAACTCGCTCCTGGGTGAGAGGATAAGGAGATTCACATACTGGGAAGGGTCACTCTGAGGGAAGAGTCGGAGATGCCAAAGGTAAAATCCCAGAGGGTGGTAGGGGAACCTTGAAGTAGCGGGGAGAGTCATCAAAATCAATTGAGAATAGAATCTTAGGTGGTGGTTTCATAACTTATGACAGCCTGTGTGATGTGTGGAAACACTTCCCCGCCTTAGAGGATGTAGCTATAAGATCGACTTTTTCTTCTTCTATTTCGGAGGTGATTTACAATCTTCCTCTGTTTTTGGGTCATCAATTCATATATGATATTGACGTTGCTTCTTTGTTAATAGCTGGCGAGGTATGTTGTTGCTATGGAGTGTCGCCTAGCTATGACAGAGCTTTGGGTCACTGAGGCCCGATAGGAAGCAACTCGCTCTTTGGATGAAATGAAAATCTAGATGAAGACAAAAGAGGAGCAATTTTTTCAGGTCTTGTGAATGGGATGCCAAAATGGCGGGGGCTCAACAACATGTTGAGGCAGCCACACTAGAGTTGCGTACCTCAGAAGCGGCTGAAACTTCCCTTCATGGAGAAGTTGAGCGACTTCACGCCAAGATGCACAGAGGGGTGATTAACCAGGAGGTCTTTACGGTATGAGAATACTGGTTTACCGTCTGAAAAAACTACCCTCCAATTAGAGAAGAATACTCTATGTCATCAGCTAGAGATGGCAGCTTCAGGAGTGATGGATAATGTCCATCGTCTGCCCAGGAAGGATATTTACTGCATGTATTATGTAAGAGATTTTGATGATATTTGCCTTCGTCAAGTGGTGGAGGAATGTGCAGCTGCTTCGGAACCCGAGGAGGTGGCATCCCAAATTATGAATGTGTGGAGGAATACGCTGGTGCTCCTGAGTCTGGGGAGGCAGCAACCCAGATTTTGAATGTGGAGATTGAATTTCATCGTGTCACGCCACTTTTAGATGTGGTTTTTGAAGTACCTCCAATGGCTGCCACTCCAGTACATTCATATTTTAATATCTCCATAACAATGTTGTTGGCTGCAACCGAGTTACTTGGCCCACAGTTTTTTGAGAACTAAAGCATATGAAATTCCAACTTGAAATAACATTGTAAAATATCATGTAAGATACTCTACCATGTGAATAGCTTAGCTTATAAACATATGTAGTAGGTACTGTACAAAGGGCTTCCAAACTTTTGTAATAACCGTAATAAACATGCTGCTTTTATTGCTAGCTATCTTTCATCCTCCCATGGTATTTATTTAGGGAACAAATCCACTGGGGTTGTTATTTAAAAGATAGTGGGGGCGTACCACATTTATGGAGTAAAGTATCTCCTTAGATGCATTGTGTTCCAAGTCCTTGACATGTATTGACCATCAGGGAGTGACGGTTTTACAGTATTTGGTCCCACCACTTTACGCACTACGTAAGGCCCTCCCATTGGGGGGTGAACTTTCCCTGACTTGGAATGTGTTAAAAGTTTCTCCTCATGACCCATTCTCCTTCCCGGATGGGTCGATTTTTCACCTTGGTGTTGTAGTAACGTGCGATCCTCTCTTTGGAAGCGGTGAGTCGCAAAAGTGCTTCCTCTCGATGCTCCTTGATGAGATGTTGATCATGAGTGAGCTCGATCTGATTTTCATCGGGTTGGAATGCTTGGATTCTATAAAAGGAGAGCTCCATTTCAATTGGCAACACAACATCGGTGCCATAAGTCAGGGCGTATGGTTTCTCCCCAATGGAAGTCTTATAAGTTGTTCGATGGGCCCAAAGCACATGGGAAAGCTCATTGACCCTGAGCTTGGCCTAATATGGTTTTTAGGCCCCACATGATGCTTTTGTTAGCAGCCTCAGCCAGATCGTTAGCTTGCAAATAGGGCACTAAGGCATATCAAAGTAGGATTCCATATTGGGCGCACTAGACCTGTAAATCTTCGCTCTTGAATTTTGCCCCATGATCCATGTTTGGGGTGTGAGGGAGACTGAACCTACATAAAATGTTTAGCCATAAAAACTTTTCAACTTGCTGAATGGATAGGCTAGCGATCGCCTCAGCCTCGATCCACTTGGTGAATATGTAAATCGCTACGATCAACCATTTCTTTCGTCCGGGAGCCATGGGAAAGGGTCCCCAAAAGTCCATCCCCCATTGAGTGAACGACCATGGCCCGATGCTAACCTGCATTTTTGCCAAAGGTGAATGAGTGGTTTGCGCGACAACTTGGCATTTGGGGCACGCATGAGCATACTTCCGAGTTCCCTACCGCATCGTGGGCCAGTAATAACGTTGTCGTATAAGGGTTTTTTCCCATCTACAAGGACCGGAAAGCATCCCAATGACCCTTCATGTATCTCTTGTATGGCAAAGTGTGCTTCGCCAAAGCTAAGGCACCACATGTAGGGTCCGTTGAAGCCTTTCTTGTATAAATCTCCCTCGATCAGGAGGTAATGAGGGGCACATCTTTTAAGGCACATGGCTTCCTTCTGGTTAGTGGGAAGGAGGCCATGTTTTAGATAATCAATGAGAGGTGTTCGCCAGTCAAATTGTATTGGAAATGAGGTAACTTGGGCACATAACATCATGGGACACCTTTCTACGATCACATGTCTTTCATTGAGGAAATCTTGTGTTGTGGCAAGTTCTGATAATGCGTCTGCATGAAGATTATCCTCACGAGATATATGGACTATATCGGCTTAAGGAAACTCTGGAAGTACCATACAAGCAACATTGGTGTATGGTACAAGCGCAGGCTCTCGTACCTTGTATGCCCACTGCACTTGATTGCAACTAGGAAAGAGTCAGAGTGGACCCTAATTCGTTGAATGCCCAACACTTGGGCCATAGACAGTCCTTCTAGGAGAGCTTCATACTCGGTGGCATTATTTGTCATGGTGCTGGCAAAGCAAATTGCCAATTCAAGAGTGACTCCAAGAGGACTTATGAGTACAACTCCTGCTCATGATCCATTTTTACTAGATGCACCATCAACGTACAATCTCCACGTCTCTAGCTCTGTGGGGAGACATACTCGAACACCTTCTGCAACAAAATCAGCTAAAACCTGGGACTTGATGGCATTGAGAGGGAGGAAAGTGATGTCGTATTCACTAAGCTTGATATGGCCCAATTCACCATTCTACCAGCAACATCCATGCGCTGAAGTAGATGATGTAAAGGCAATTGAGAGAGTATACATATGGGGTGGCTTTGGAAGTATGGATGCAACTTTCAAGTGGCAACCACCACAACTAGGGCGGCTTTCTCCACAGGAGATTATATGGTTACACCATCTAACAGAGTCTTACAAGTGTAGTAAATAGGATTCTCTGTATTGTCTGTATCTCGGAGAACGAGTACAACACTCACGACCTTGGAGGAGATGACAAAGTATAAGTACAATGTCTCGTTGTTGACAGGAGATGAGAGTGTTGGGGATTCCCAAGTACTCCTTAAGTTCTATGAAAGCTTTCTCATATTCAGGAGTCCACTGGAAGGTCTTTCCATCTTCTTTTATGGTGTTGAAGAAAGGGGCACATTAATCCCTAGCTCGTGAAATGAATCGATTGAGTGCCACAATCCTTCCTGTTAGAACTTGTACTTCCTTATGCTTTGGGTGATGTCATTTGGAGAATGGCTTCAATTTGTCTAGGTTTAAACTCGATTCCGTGTCTTTTCACCATGAATCCTAGAAACTTCCCTACGGTTGCCCCGAAGACGCATTTCTTTGGATTAAGCGTAACTTGTATCCTCGTAGGGTATCAAAAGTCTCACATAGATCTTCTAAATGTGCATGTGTCTCCGCACTTTTTATTAGGATGCCATTCACATAGGCTCAACGTTTCGACCCAATTGTCTGGCAAAGACCCGATCCACCATACATTGATAGGTAGCTCTGGCATTATTTAGGCCAGATGACATCACCTTGTAGCAATAGTTTCCTACTGAAGTCATGAAGGCATTATATTGTTGGTTCTCATTCTTTAGTGGGATCTGGTGATACCCCGAGAACATAACAAGAAAAGAGAGATGGTGATGATCGATGGTCGCATCGATGAGAAGATCAATTTTGGGCAGGGGATACGGGTCCTTCGGGCAAGCCTTGTTGTGATTGGTGAAGTGAACACACATTCTCCATTGGCCGCTGGCCTTCTAAACCATGACCACATTAGCCAAACATGTTGGGTAGAGAACCTCGCTAATGAAGCCGGCTTGCCCTAGCTTGATTACTTCCTCCTCTATGGCTGGCGACGTTCCCAAGCAAAGTTCCTTCTTTTTTGTTGGATAGGCTTGCTACCTGGGATAATCCATAGTGCATGCTAGGCAACTCTTGAATCGAGACCATGCATATCCTCAGGGCCTTGAGCAAAGAGCTCCGTGTACTCGATCATCAAACTAAGATCAGGTCAGTAATCCTCCTTTTCCAGGGACCGGATCAGTTCAGTAATTCTCCTATCAGTAACTGTCAGTAATCCAATCATCTTTCCCCACGTGTCAGCATTTTCCTTTTATTTAAATTAAACATGGAGGGGCACTAAGGTAAATTGCACCCCTTTTAATGTTGACGCTGACTTTTTGACCAGACGCGGATCCCACTCCCCCACCCCACACTTGTTCCCCTCTCTCTCACTCTTTGTTTTATTATTAAATGAAAAATACATTATTTCTTCTCTCTACCATCTACAACAAAAATGAATCTAACCATCCTAGCTATCTCTATTCTAATTCCAACTCAAATTGAATGATAATTTTTTCGTTAAATAATTCAGTGCTAAAGACAGTAATTACAAGTATAAATATGATTATCACTTTCTACTATTATGGTAAAACATGATAAATATGTTGAAGAAAATTATAATCTAACTATGATACAATACCCCATGGTATAACGTGGTAAAACATGCTACAGAAACTTACAAATCCAACTACCACCATACCATATTGTATAACATGCTAAAATAAAATTACAAATCCATCTACCACCACATGGAATAACATGGTAAAACAGGTTACAGAAAATTATAAATATAACTATCATTCAATACCACCAAAGTAGAACATGGTTAATCGAATGAACACAAATTAATTGTAATTACCATACAATACCACATGGTATGAGAAGGTAAAACCATACGAAAATAATATAAATCTAATTACAACCCTCTACGACCATAGGAAAACATTACCACACTTTACCATATGCTATAGACACATTACCATATGGTAAAGTGTGGTAATCTCAATATATATACAATTACGACTCTCTTCACTTTCTTCTCCCACTTCATTGTCTTCTAACTCTTCTTTCTCGGAACTGCTGTCGATTACCACCCACTACCACCATGATAAAACTCGTGACCATAAAAATACATATAGTTAGCACACATTACCATATGGTATAGTGTGGTAATATCAATATATATAACCTAAAAGAAGGAAGAAAAACAGCATGAGGGAGAGAGAGAAAAAACTCGTCTTCTGTCTCCTCTCATTTCCTCTTCCACAATCAAGAACACCAAATTCAAAAAAAAAAAAAAAAAAAGAGGAGGAAGATCGGAATTAAAAATTCACAAAAAAATACTAAAACATAAAACATGCAAACTGGACTCACCTAGATCTGTCCCCTCTTGGTTAATGTGGAGTGTCATCTATTTTGAGGCCGAGAAAAGAAAGAACAGAAGGAAGGAGCAGATCGAGAGAAGAAGGATTTGGAGTGTCACCAAATTTGAGAGGGGAGGCTGCAGATTTTTTCTTAGTCGATTGGAGAAAAAAAAAAATGAAGAACAAAGAATGGAACAGATCTAGATATGGAAAAAGGTGTTTGGAAGAGAGAAGGAAGAGAGAAAGAGAAAGAAAAAAGAGAGAGGAAAAGAGAAATCTGGTTTTCTCTTTCCGAAATTAAAAGTCAGCATATAAATGCTGGAAAAAAAATAAAAATAGAAAATAAATAAAATTTTAAATTCCAGCAAGATGTGAGCTCATATTTTTTTACGAGTTGTAATATACATTTGGCAAAACAAGAAGCAATTTCTCTGGTTTCATATATAGTTAATAAATACTCCGTTTAATACA